CGAAAGTATTCATAGTATCTTGTTGGTACCCCACTACTGCCATGCTCCTTATCTATATAATGCATATACAGTGGACCCCCGAGTTTCGGCAGCATCGACTTTCGGCAATTTTTTTTGGCAAAATTTGGCCTCGTGATTTGGCGACCGTCTGGTATCCGTCCGCCCATCACAGCGCACGAAAAGCCAGTCTCCCACGCCATTCATGCTCAGTGTGCCATTGTTTACCAACACGTGACCATCACCCCACGGGTTCATACGTAATAATCCATTGTTTTTTGTGATTGCAACTGCTAAATAAGTCGCCATGGGCCCAAGGAAAGCTAGTGCAAGCCCTTTGGTAATGAAAGCGAAGAACATGATCCAGAGGGATTTTGAAGGGTTTGAGGCAGACCCTGACCCTGCCGACCCTCTGCCTTTTGTGGAAGGTGTTGTGGCATTGGGCAACTCCATGGGGTTGGAGGTGAGTGATGGGGATGTGGAAGAGTTGGTGGAGGACCACAGGGAAGAGCTAACCACTGACGAACTGCAAGAGCTTCAACTGGAACAGCATCAGACCACAGCTGAGGAACTTGCTTCAGAGGAGGAGGAAAAGAGAGTGAAGGAGGTGCCTTCTTCAGTGATTAAGGACATGTGTTCAAAGTGGAATGAGTTGCAAAGTTTTGTTGAAAAGTATCACCCTGACCAAGCTGAAACAAGCCATATCTGCAACACGTTCAGTGGCAAAACCTTGTCCCACTTCAGGCAAATCATAAAGAAATGCCAGAAACAGACCTCTCTGGACAGATATTTTGTGCAAGTTGTTCCCAGTGGCATTAAAAGAAGAAGGGAAGTAACCCCAGAAAAGGACTTGCTAGCTGAAGTCCTAATGGAAGGAGATTCTCCTACCAAACAATAGTGTACACCTTCCTCCTATCCCCTCCTCCCATCTTCCATCCACCCAGAAGTCTTAGTAAAGGTAAGTGTAATGTCATTATTATTTTTTATATGCATGTACTTGATTTCTGATTGTTTTCAGTATGTAAATCTTTATTTAATTTGAAAAAAAAAAAATTATTTTAATATTTTTGGGTGTCTGGAATGGATTAATTTTATTTCCATTATTTCTTATGGGGAAAATGGTTTCGAGTTTCGTGAATTTCGACTTTCGGCAGGCTCGGAATAGATTAATCACGAAACTCGGGGGTCCACTGTACAGTGGACCCCGCCTTACGAACGCATCATGTTACGTTAAATCCGCCATACGAAGCATTTGAATGCAAAAATTTTGCCTCGCCTTTCGTGATTCGTCCAGGACGTGTCCCACGTGTGGCCTCAGCGCCAGTGTTTACAAGCCAGCCAGTGCGGTCGCATCTACACATACATTCGGCACATTTCACATTATCCCAGTGTTTTTAGTACTTGTAACTGCAAAATAAGTCACCATGGACCCCAAGAAAGCTTCTAGTGCCATCCCTGTGGTAAAAAGGGCGAGAATTAGTATGGAATTGAAAAAAGAGATTAAGGAAATGTGTGCAAAGTGGGTTGAACTGCAAACCTTTACGGATGAAAATCACCCTGACACAGCTACTGCAAACCGAGTTGGCAACCTGTACAATGACAATGTTATGGCCCATTTTAGGAAAGTTTTAAAGGAACGGGAGGTACAGAGCTCTATGGACAGATTTGTTGTGCGACAGAGGTCCAGCGACTCTCAAGCTGGTCCTAGTGGCATTAAAAGAAGAAGGGAAGCAACCCCGGAAAAGGACTTGCTACCTAAAGTCCTAATGGAAGGGGATTCCCCTTCTAAACAATAACTTCCACACTCTCCCCTCCTCCCATCCCATCAATCATCACCAGATCTTCAATAAAGGTAAGTGTCATGTATTTTATTCTTAGTAGAGTAGTAATTGTGCATGTCTTCTTCAGTTTGTGTGTATTAAAATTAATATTTCATGAGGTAAAATTTTTTTTTTCATACTTTGGGGTGTCAGGAATGGATTAATTTGATTTCCATTATTTCTTATGGGGAAAATTAATTCGGCTAACGATAATTTTGGCTTACGATGAGCTCTCAGGAATGGATTAATATCGTAAGGCAGGGGTCCACTGTATATACAAGGATATGCCATACAGTACAGGCAGACCCCATTTATACAGCAGGTTAGATTCCAAGTTACTGCTGTAAAGCAAAAATTGCTATAAAATGAAACAGCCTTTTTCACTTTCAAATGCATATAAAAGCCTGATAATATGTTTACACTATCATATATTTAGTAAGTAACAGAACTAGGCCTAAAAAAAATGCATATACAGTACAAACATTACTTACCTTAATTACCCTTTACCAGGCCTGGTAAAGGGTATTAAAATACTTTCATCTTTAGCTTACAGTGAGTGGTGAATATATTTATTGTAGAAAGTATGAATAAGTATGGATATAACTGAAAACAGCTGTATTACCAAAATGCCACAAAGTGAAGCACTGTAAAACTGAGCCCTCCTGTAATTCAACTACGGTGTATTTCTGGCCATAAGTTGCAATTAGCTGTAAGGCATGGGGGTACACTATTTTAAGGCCTTGCAGATGGGAGTAAATTGAGGTTTTCTGCATTAATAGTCAATACATGCAATGTTTTAATATTCTGTGAGCTCAGCAGTAAGCCTACTGGCCTATGCTATGCAGATTCTAATCAGATCCAACCCTCTCCATTCATAAATTTATTCCACTAATCTACAATATTGTAGATTAAATAGTACCATTTTATAGTTATATTTATGATACCATTTTATAGTTTATAGGTAGTAGGTTGGTAGGCAGCAACCACCCAGGGAGGTACTACCGTCCTGCCAAGTGAGTGTAAAATGGAAACCTGTCATTGTTTCACATAATGGTAGGATTGCTGGTGTCTTTTTTTTCTGTCTCATAAACATGCAAGATTTCAGGTACGTCTTGCTACTTCTACTTGCACTTAGGTCACACTACACATACATGTACAAGCATATATACTATATATATACAGACACCCCTCTGGGTTTTCTGCTATTTTCTTTCTAGTTCTTGCTCTTGTTTATTTCCTCTTACCTCCATGGGTAAATGGAACAGAATTCTTCCTCCGTAAGCCATGCGTGTTGTAAGAGGAGACTGAAATGCCGGGAGCAAGGGGCTAGTAACCCCTTCTCCTGTATATATTACTAAATGTAAAAGGAGAAACTTTCGTTTTTCCTTTTGGGCCACCCTGCCTTGGTGGGATATGGCCAGTGTGTTGAAAGAAGAAAGATTTTATAGTTAGATTTATATTTATGACTGGAGGAGCACTGCACTTGCATAGTGATCAATGCTAGGCAAGACCTCAAATTCAATGTTTTTCACCTATATAGTAGATAAGAATATAAGGCAGTGTCACAACAGTGATAATACCTATATTCTGCCGAATATGGGCAAGCAGGTATACTACAGTGCTCCTTCATTCTTAACCCCTTGACTGTCACAACCCCCAATCCTGAGGTGTCTCCTGGTGTCACAAAATTTCAAAAAAAAAAAAAAATATTTTTTCTTATGAAATGATAGAGAATCTTTTGCCGATTGTAATGACACCAAAAAAAACGAAATTTGATGGAAAACTGACAGAATTATGCTCTTGCAAAGTTAGCGACCTCGGCGATATTTACAAATCGGCGATTTCGCCCACTTTGAGCCCTATTTTCGGCTAATTCCTTTGTTCCAGTCGACCAAACTCATAGCTATTTCTTTAGAACTCCATTTTTTCTATCGATTGAGTACAAGAAATTGCCCGGTTACCGATTTCAACTACCCAATAATGTGGTCAGAAATTTGCAATTTGGCCAATTTCACGAAAATTAAAAAATATGACAATTTCAAAATAAGATTCAGAATGAACAATGCAGACATTCCTGGCTCTAAAATAACATTTTCTTTGTTCATCAGTCATGTCTCCAGGCCCCTTTGATATTACTCTTGCTTTCTATTTTGAATTTTTATTCAAACAAAAAATAGAAGACTTACTATTATGCAGACTACTGCAATACTGTAATAATTGTATAAATAACATCAACCCATTCATGACTGCATATTAGAATGGCTAGTTGGACATTTATTGGACAATGACATCATTTGTTTACTTTTGAACATTGGCAAAAATCAAACATTTCCCCTACTTTGAGCTCCATTTCCAGGTTCTTTTTATAGTAAAACCAATCAAAATCACCTCTATTTCTATAATATGTTTTCCATTCTATCAAATGAGATGAAGAAAACGAGAATACAACCATAAATATTATATGAAAATAGACCACAAAGTCGGCATTTTAATTAAAAAAAAAACAGTCAGTTTTTTTTTTCTCATGCACTGAGTGCTCCAGGATTTTTTTTATATGGTGCACACTGACCACACAGACCCATTCTCTCACATGTGGGCCTACCAGCTTTCTCCTGCTTGATTTGAAGCCGCTAGAATTTATGAGTATATATACGTCAAACACGGTACCTCATAAGACGTATATATACGGCCGCGACAGTCAAAGGGTTAACCTCTTGCCTGCTTTTTTCATTATTTTGACTATTTTTACATATTTCTTCGGGGGGTATTATGTGCTCATAAGACATGAGGTATAACTCTAAGCACGTTTATTTAGGAAAAAAAAAAAGTGTGATTTGTGCCTGGAAATATACGTTATTTAGGAAAACACTAATAGTACAAGTAGGACTGTACTAATCTATGATCATACAACAACTGCGAATAAATATTATGAATGATAATTAGAATATTCAATGAGAGTTTCATTAATATACAACCGTACAGTATTCCGAACACTAAATATTCTCCAAATTTTCAGCTCAGAACTAAGGCAAAATACTATAGTGTACTTATACAATAATGAGCAACATAAAGTATTAATGCAAATGTTAAATTATATTTAAAAACTTTCAGATTAATCAAATAAAAAAGAATAGAAATTTAGAATATATTATAATACTATCATTATCAAAAATAAGAATCTAAAATAAGTGACTATGACAACTTTACCTACCTATTAGAAAGTTTGGGAGATGTGGAGATAAACTGGTTGAGTGTCGACTTGTCATAAAATTCCTTAAAGGAATTTACTGAATGTAAGGAGTGTATAGAGTTAAGGGAGTGCTCTCTGCGGTGATGGATCCCTCCAACAGCACCGCTTTCATCGTGGGGTGGAGGGGGAACCGGTGGTGGTCCAGTACTGCCATATATACTCCCAAGAGAAGCAGAGCCACTATAGATACCCGATGAAGGGTGACTGCCACTATAAAGGCACCCTATGCCACTGTAAATGCCGGACATCGAGGGAGGACTGCTACCATAGGCAGCATGCAGGGCGGCATCAGAGCTGGGTGGAGGTGGTGCAGGAGGAGGAGGGGGTTCATCTGTGTCATGGGAGTCATCCTGACCAGAGTGTTGACTTGACAACCCTGGGGACGGAGGTTCACTCTGACTCTGACTTGAACCCATAGCATCTATTGAAGGCTTGGCAGATGAAGTGGATGGTGGACAAGGAGAAGGATTATCAGAAGGCTGTGGAGGAGGAGTGTGAGTAAGGATGGGTGTTTTTGGTGAGTTTGGTGGGGTGTGTGCTAAGTTGGGCACAGTTGCAGAAGCATCAGGACTAGCAGCACCATCACTGCGGTCTATACTGGGAATGCTGTGCAAGGAGAGGCGGTCAGCCAGGGAGGCTACATCATCTTTGGTGCTGGGTGGCATTTCATCTTTGGATTCACTAGGAACCAGGGGTTCTGGCGACTGTCTTGTTTCTACTGCAATACATAAGCCAACATTAGTTAAGCATAAGCATATCAGACTGTAATAGCTTAAGTAAAATCTAAAATTTAAAAGCACTACCCCTACAAAAGTACACACCATACATAGTAACTAAGATAAATTTAGAGTCCAGGTAATTAAAAAAACTAATTGAAAAGTTATTTAAGCACCATAAATTTATTATTAAGCAATGATAAAATGCTGTTAATAAAAAATTCTGAAAAAATGAGACAAAAAATGTTAATTATCATCATATATCTTCAACATGTCAAATACTACAGGGAGCCCATAAAGTTCTATTCAGACTTTAAAAATTTATTATAACAAGAAAATGCAATTCTTTGCATGTGATGGAGTAATTATCTTAACATGGAGTTTCCTGATAGATGGACTGGGTGCGAGTGCCCCATTAAATGGCACCCATGCTTCCCTGACATTATGTTTGTAGACTACTACTTGTAAGGTGTGAGAAGTATTATGCTTACCAGATACCAATAGCTGACATTAAAACACTGCTAGAATAAATAATGGAATAAGAAATGTTCTACTAGATAAGTTGGCCACCAGAGGTGCACACAGAATTGCATAAATTTGACATGTGAAACTGTATAAAAACTATTATTCAGCTTCTCATATGCAAAAAATTATTTTCATATTTGTCACCATTTTGTTGCCAAAAAAAAAAAAATTAAATTTGAAAGGACTTTGTGGACACACTGTTTATTACAGAGAATATGAATATTTTATTTCTTTATAGTGTAATTATTTTTTATAAGTTTAAAAAAAAGGATTCAGTGGCCTAAAAAATACAGTGTGGCTTGGTTAATACAAATTTTGCTAATTCAGGGTTGTTCTTTTTTTTTGATACATAAAACGTATAATGCATCTACAAAATGGATAAGTACACGTACACAGTAGTGTGCCAACAGGTAGTCCAAGCTTGCGAGCATGTATGTGTGTGCGCTCGTGTGATAGAGTGTACTCACCTGTTTGTGGTTGCAGGAGTTGATTAGCAGCTCCTTACTACCCCCTTCCCCCTCGGTGTGTACTCACCTAGTTGTGGCTGCAGGGGTAGAGTCACAGCTCCTGGCCCTGCCTCTTCACTGGCCTCTAATTGGTCACTCTTCCCGCTCCATGAGCTTTATCATACCTCATCTTAAAGCTATGTATGGATCCTGCCTCCACTACATCACTACCCAAACTATTCCACTTCCTGACAACTCTGTGACTGAAGAAATACTTCCTAACATCCCTGTGGTTCATCTGAGTCTTCAACTTCCAACTGTGGCCCCCTTGTTGCTGTGTCCCATCTCTGGAACATCCTGTCTCTGTCCACCTTGTTGATTCCTCTCAGTATTTTATATGTCATTATCATATTCCCCCTATCTCTCCCGTCTTCCAGTGTCGTCAAGTCGATTTCCCTTAACCTCTCCTCGTAGGAAATACCCCTTAGCTCCGGGACCAGTCTTGTTGCAAACCTTTGCACATTCTCTAGTTTCCTTACATGTGTGTGTGCATGCGTGTGCATGCACACATGTAATGAACGCTTGTCAATGTTCAATAATAACCCACATGGAGACAGAAACACAGAAATATAAAGACCAATTAATCTTGTGTGTTTTTGTCTTCATGTGGGTTATTACTGAATGTGTGCATGCACACACGCACATGCATGCACATATACACATACCTACATACATACATACATACATACATACATACATACACACACATGTGTACCACTAACAACAATCTTCAACACATCTATTGAAACAAGGTAACTACTTGAGGTATGGAAGCTAGCAAATGTAGTCCCAATTTTTAAAAAAGAGGACAGACACAAAGCATTAAACTACAGACCAGTGCCATTGACATGTATAATATGCAAAGTCATAGAGATTATCATGAGGAGAGTGGTGGAGCACCTAGAAAGGAATGAGCTAACCAATGGCAATCAGCACGGTTTCAGGGATGGGAAATCCTGTGTCACAAACCTACTGGAGTTCTATGACAGAGTGACAGCAGTAAGACAAGAGAGAGGTGGGTAGATTACGCTTTCTTGGATTATAAGAAGGAGCTGGACACGGTTCCACACAAGAGATTACTGCAAAAGCTGGAAGACCAGGTAGGGATAACAGGGAAGGCGCTGCAATGGATCAAGGAACACCTGTCAGGAAGACAACAGAAAGTCATAGTGCATGACGAGGTGTCTGAATGGGCACCTGTGACTAGTGGGGTTCCACAAGAGTCAGTCCTACGACTGATCCCTGGTACTAGTGGGGTTCCACAGGGGTCAGTCCTAGGACTGACCCCTGGTACATGTGAATGACATGACAGAAGGAATAGACTCAGAAGTGTCCCTGTTTGCAAATGATGTGAAGTTGATGAGAAGAATTCAACTGGACAAGGACCAGGCAGAACTACAAGGGGATCTGGACAGGTTGCAGGCCTGGTCCAGAAACTGGCTCCTGGAGTTCAACCCCACCAAGTGCAAAGTCATGAAGATTGGTGAAGGGCAAATACAACTGCAGATGGAGTACAGTCTAGGGGGCCAGAGGCTACAAACCTCATTCAAGAAAAAAGATCTTGGGGTGAGTATAACACTGGGCACATCTCCTGAGGCACACATCAACCAAATAACTGCTGCAGCATATGGGCGCCTAGCAAACCTGTATTCTGTATTCCGACATCTCAATAAGGAATTGTTCAGGACCCTGTACACCGTGTATGTCAGGCCTATATCGGAGTATGCAGCACAAGTTTGGAATCACACCTAGCCAAGCATGTAAGGAAAGTAGAGAAAGTGCAAAGGTTTGCAACAAGACTAGTCCTGGAGATATGGGGCATGTCCTACGAGGAGAGGTTAAGGGAAATCAACTTGGTGACACTGGAAGACAGGAGAGATAGGGGAGATATGATAACAACATATAAAATACTGAGAGGAATCAACAAGGTGGACAGAGACAGGATGTTCCAGAGATGGCACACAGCAACAAGGGGTCACAGTTGGAAGCTGAAAACTCAGATAAACCACAAGGATGTTAGGAAGTATTTCTTCGGTCACAGAGTTGTCAGGAAGTCACTGTAACTTGCTCGAAGTACAATAAATTATCATATTTTAACCTAATGCAAATGTTGAATAACAAATATTTAATAGACATATAACCTATTGTATAATTAGTGCAACCTTATCAAACTATGTTTTGTACGTCTAGTGTTAAGTACAGTAATCAGTAATGTATTAAGTTTAGATTGCCCGTAATGCCAAGGCATGATAGTGGCTCTCTTTGTACTAAAAACCATTGTAAACCCTCACTGTAAACTACTTATGTAAATACACTTCCTAAAATATGCCAACCACATTGTAAACTTGCAAGGAAATACTAAAGGAATTTGAATTTGAAGTGATGTAGTGGAGGCAGGATCCATAAATAGCTTTAAGAAGAGGTATGATAAAGCTCATGGAACAGGAAGAGTGACTAGTAGTGACCAGTGAAGAGGTGGGGCCAGGAGCTATGACTCAACCCCTGCAACCACAACTAGGAGAGTACACACATACATATGTATGTATATGAATGTATATATGTATGTATGCATGTATATGTACTTTATATGTACAAAACTGTAGTGTACTCTACTTACACTATGCAATTTTAGTTATACATACTAAAGTTTCATTTCAGTGTAGACAAAAAAAACTGTACGTACTTAAAATATACTACCAGGACATGTGCAAAAGTCTAAAAGATCAACAAATGTCACTGTTTTAAAATACCACAGGGATGGACTGCAAAATATTATTCTGTATAAAAAATAACTACTTGAATGAGGTGTAGTTCATGGGTAAATTTAGCATGAATGGAGATGACATTTTATCATCTTTAGTCATCTGTGAAAATACTGTATTTTAAATATAAATAAAGTAAGATGGCTACCGAGATTACACTAAGAAGAAAGGAGGGATGACAGTCTTTAAAGCCTTAAAGAATAGAGAGAAGTGTGGGAGGCAAGAAACCTTCATGAGGGAATACATTGACTCTGAGCAGTATATCATAACAAGTGTACTTTATATCTTTGAGGTACTACTAAAAATAAGAAAAAATATGAAAAGTGATGGGGCATGTAAATTACCACCTCATGAAAGTGATTAATGATATAATGCAGTACACTAGTAATGGTAATGGCAAGTGGCAGATTACGATAATAGGTTGCATCAATAGCATCCACATGTAATCCATGGGTTAAATGCGGCTCACCCCACTGCTGAGTGCAGCCTGCATGAGGTGTTTTGCACACAAACTACTAGGTCAAGAGAGCATAATTTTTGCCACAACTATTCTGTAGCCAACAATTTAAAAAAAAAAAAAAATCTAAACAGCTAACGAGCATACTTCACAGTTGCTAGTATAGCCTCTCCTCATTTAACGATTGAGTTGTGTTTCTAAGACCACGTCGGTAGTGGGTCTGTGTCAACCATCTTTGATATTGTTCTAATGTCACCTTTACACCATTTATAACATTTTTAGTATATTTTTAAATGTTTGTACAGTAGTGTACTGTATATTGTAATAAACAGAATAGAGGAAATCAGCTCTAATATATATTATTTAGGTATGCATACTGGTCAGAGAGCCCATCCTAAGTCCGAGTCATCGGTAAACGAGTACGTCACTAAGTGAGGAGAGGATGTACATATAAAAAATCAGTGGCCAGCACACATGGTTTTCTAGTTCTGAGTCTCACTACTGCAATACACTCTTGGCTTATATGAATGTGGTGCTGTTGTAGCAATGGTGAGTGACACTGACTGTGATACTGATAGGTTACATGAATGGAGTACTGCAGTAGCAAAGAAAGTGAGTGACAGTAATTGTTATGATGATAAGTTACAATAAATGTGGTACTGCAGAAGTAATGATGGTGAGTGACAGTGATGATGATGATAGGTTACAATGAATATGGTACTGTACTGCAGTAGTAATGATGATGGTGTGTG